GTACTGGCTCTCATAACAGATATTCGATAACTCGTGTGTGCGTGAGTGTGTGTGTGTGTGTGTGTGTGTGTTTGTGTGTGTGTGTGTGTGTGTGTGTGTGTGTGTGTGTGTGTGTGTGTGTGTGTGTGTGTGTGTGTGTGTGTGTGTGTGTGTGTGTGTGTGTGTGTGTGTGTGTGTGGTGTGTATTCACCTAATTGTGATTGCAGGGGTCGAGACTCAGCTCATGGCCCCACCTCTTCAATGATCGCTACTAGGTCCTCTCTCTCTGCTCCCTGAGCTTTGTCATACCTCGTCTTAAAGCAAATGTATAGTTCCTACCGCCACTACATCACTTGCTAGACTATTCCACTTCCGGACAACTCTATGACTGAACAAATACTTTCTAAAATCCCTCTGACTCGTCTGAATCTTCGGTTTCCAATTGTGACCCCTTGTTTCTCTGTCCCCTCTCTGAACCATCCTGTCTCTATCCACCTTATCTATTCCACGCAGTATTTTTTATGTCGCTATCATGTCGCCCCTGACCCTCCTGTCCTCCAGTGCCGTCAGGCCTATTTCCCTCACCCTTTCTTCGTAGGACATTTCCCTGAGCTCCGGAACTAACCTTGTTGCAAACCTTTGCACTTTCCCTAATTTCTTGACGTGCTTGACCAGGTGTGGGTTCCAAACTGGTGATGTATACTTCAGTATGGGCCTGACATACATAGTGTGCAGTGTCTTGAACGATTCCTTTCTAAGGTATCGGAACGCTATTCTCAGGTTTGTCAGGAGCCCATATGCTGCAGCAGTTATCTGGTTGATGTGTGCTTCCGGTTGATGTGTGTACCTTTAAGAAGGTGAAAGAATTATTATTGTCTTAATTCAAAGTTTTCAAATATAACCTTAGAAAGCCTGATCCATTGGGCTTCAAATTTCCAGTGCCGATTTCATGTATCTAGGGTGAGGTTCGTACAACCATAGCATGTGCAGGTGACCTCCGCCCCATCCTATAATATATATTATATATATATTATAAAAATATATATTTTAAAAAAAACATGATCTTGACCGAAGGAGACTCCAACCTACGAACCTTGGAACAAGGTACGCAGTGCTATACCATTCTCACCACACTGGACAATACCTTTGGGGCCTAGCACAATGCTAGACGTTGATCCAAGGCAGCCAGCTTTCAGGGAAAAAGGCTTACAGCTTTTCATCTCATCCCTGCATGCATCAGCCTTACTAGAGGGTATTAAAAAATGCAAGGAATTCGCAAGAGCAGGCGAAATACCAAACATAATCTCTGGCCGAAGGAGACTCGAACTACGACCTTGGGAAAAAGCACGCAAGGTACACACACACACATATAATATATTATATATATATATATATTATATATATATATATAATATATATATATATTATAAAATTTATTAATATATATATATATATATATATATATATATATAATATTTTATATGTATGTATAATATAAAATAATATATATATAATATAATATATATATTTATATATATATATATATATATATATATATATTTTTATATATATATATATATTATATATATATGGCTGTGCCATTTTGCAAAGTTGGGTGGTCCTGTGGTTTAAAGCGTCATGTGGTTCCGCTTACCATGGGGCAGGCCAGTACAACATGGGTTCGAATCCTTGGGTTAGCGCAGTGTTGCTATATCTTACTATATATATATATATATATATATATATATATATATATTATATAATATATATAATATATATTATAATATATATAATATATTAATATAACTAAGCAGAAGCCAACTGCAGATGCTAATGGTTGCACGAACCTCACCCTAGTTACATGAAATCGGCACTGGAAATTTGAAGCCGAAGGGATGAGGCTTTCTAAGGTTATAATTGAAAACTTTGAATTCAGAAAATAATAATTATTTCACCTTCTTAAAGGTACTCTTCGGGAATATATAAATAATAATTTTATCATATTTTAAAATTTAAATGGGAGGGTAAGGTAAAGTCAGTTTACCTTAGCTACTACCGGAGACAATGTTGACAGTGTCTGAAGTGAAAGTTAAAGTGACCATGTCCGGGAGATCAGCTTAGAAAGTGCCGGCGGTTGTGGCGGATGTGGTACAGAGTAGTTGTGGTAGTTATGGATGGAGGGTAGTGATGGTGAAGGGGGGAGAATGGTGATAATGGTGATCGCTGTTTTGGTAGTGGAAGGGATTTTGTGGTAGTAGTGTGAAGGTGGTGATTGTGGTGTAGGTGATTATGGTGGGTGTCATCATGGTGGTGTTAATAGCAGGGGTGGAACCACTGGAGATGGTGGAAATGGTGGTTGGGGTATGGGGCGATATTAACGCCAGTAAGGAAGTGGAGATATTTGTATTGTGTATTGTCGGTTGGTGGTGGTGGTAACAGCTGCTATTAGTGGTAGTGGTGGTGATATTTGCAATCATGGCAATGGTGGTGATAGTTGTTATTGGAAATTGTGCTAGTGTTAATTAAAATTTTTGGCTGTGGTTATCGTATTAGTTGGTGTGATAGTGATTGATATCATTTGTTGTTGGGGCGGTGATATTTTTCACTGGTTATTGTAGTAGAGGCACTTAACGTGAATAACTACGGTGGAGATAGTTATTATCAGAAGTTTTGGTGAAGGTAGTTACCCTAAGCAGTTGTGCTGGTAATCATTAATAGTCGTGATGATAGTAATTGTGGTGTTATTTATCTTTTAGTTGAGGCAACGCTGGTATTATTTGTGGTTAATATTGAACGTAAGAAAGGCCAACTACGGTAAAACGAAAGTTACTCGACTTCAGACACGAGAAAGTTGATAATCTGTGATCTTATATGTCCTGAAATATTGGGGAGTTCCCGTATTAGGGCTCTCAACTTTCTCTTCTCCTTGTCTCAGTAGTACAGAGATCATACTGGCTTGGCAGCCATAAGATCTTAATTGAGGTTGAATCCCAGAAATATGTTCACTCACCAATTTGAAATCACCTATTTGCAGTTTCAGGGGTTGAATCTCAGTTCCTGGATTCTCCTCTTAACTTGCCACCTGTATGTACCTAGCTATATATACTCAGAGACATGTTGTGGCAGGGGTCGAGTCTCAACTCCTAGCCTTATATTTACCTTTCAGATTATTATTATTATTATTATTATTATTATTATTATTATTATTATTATTATTATTATTATTATTATTATATTCACAGAGAAGGGCTACATTTGTCAAAATTTTACAATGCCTGGGGGTAGGAGGCAACCAGGTTTGATCTGAGGGCTAGAAAGGTAACTTCAGTTCCTTTGATCAAAAATCATTATCAAGTATTAAGATGCACCCACATCAAGAGAGTGAATTTCTTGCAAGCTGAAATCACTTTTGCAGGTAAACGAACACGCCTCACTTCTTGCTAGAAAAACGGATGCACTTTCTCCAGAGGCTCGCGAGGCTGGAGGCGGACAGGACGTGGGAGGGAGGCCACTAACTGTGAAGGTTGTTTGATAGTGTGTGGGAGAGGTTTGGGGTCACTGTCACTCAGGAATGTTTGAACATGTGCAATGGTTAAATAATGCTAACCAAAGAATATCTGCTTCAGGAATCAATCCCTATTCAGTGCTATTTCCAATGCTAACCCAATAAGGAATGACAACAGAAAGTATTTATGAATTTGCTTTCCCTATGACATGCAATGTCGAGAAAGTGAAGAGATTTAACACTGATTCACATTTTAGCTACATTTTTAGATATTTACTTATGAATTCAAACTAATACACAATTTATTATTACGCTTTATAATATAGGTGCACAATATATTTTTCACTAAAATGTACATGAAACAAAAAAAATTACGAAAATATATTTTTGGTGTTATTTTCTTCACTCCACTGCGTTTTTCATTTGGTGAAATCCACTGGGTTTGGTCTGTTCGTGGAGCTAATCCCTTATGTTTCAGTTATCCCTTTATCTTGTTTGGATCTGATGCCATTTACGCGGTGTCGTGTTCTTCTTGAATAACTGTGCTCACATGGTTGGAATCAGGATTGCTTTCTGTGTTCGCTTTTGTACTGTGTAATATAGGCGGATTTTCTTTCCTGTTGTTTTTACTGGGCCTAATATAAGCGGATTTTTATGCCTGTAAGTTTCATAAACATGACGTTTGAGGGTTTTTATTTTTTTTAATCTGCTTGATATGTTTTACGTGTCAAATTAGAGAGGTAGTTGGAGTTGTTATAAAAGCATTTACAGAAGTTATGAGGCCAAAACTGCTGAAACATAGATGATGCAGTCTTATATAAATTTGAAGCTCACAGATGAAACTTGCATTACTGTGTACTACACACTCTTGTATCACAACACACATCACCAGACACGACTCAACCATCACTACATCACCACACACCTGCACTATAACTACACACTCAACCACACACTTGAATTATCGCTCTACACATCAAGACACAACACCATCACTACCAAGAGATACACACCCTAAGCAAATAAACAAATAAACATTACTAATACACCTTGTTGTATACCATCTCATCTGCTTTTCCATCAACAAGATTATTCATGTATTCCTTAGCTGGAAAATGTGAATGTATTAGTACACTCAGTACATTAGTCTCCCACTGCCTCAATCTTCCACTACCGCAGAGTGACTCAAAAACCAATTCATTCACCATCATTCATTCAATAGCTGTTTTGCCAGCAATGTTCGAATATCACAACTTAAATAGCGCTCTGAATTGAATCATCCTTATGTGTATTCACTCTTTTTTATTTTTTTTTGTTTTGGTGGGGGGGGGGATTTCATTAGAAACATCAAATCCCTAAGGGACTTCAAACAATTTGGGAATCGATGGCAAATCAATTTAGATCCAAGGAAAGGTAGGTAGGTTCCAGTTTCTTCGATCACTCGCTTAGTACCAGCAACAGGCCACATCCCGTGAAGGGTAAATGAGGTAGAAACGACAGTAAAGAACTTCTTTACCTTACTATCGAAGATGAAAGTAACTGAGAGTGGCACCTAGTCAGCCCCAGAGTCGAAGTAGCTTTCCTCTCAAGGAACCTGAAGGAAACATTCAAGAATTTTAAAAATATTATTTTTTTTGTCGCACTCTGTAGTAACAACAACAATAATAGTAATTTTAATAATAATAATAATAATAATAATAATAATAATAATAATAATAATAATAATAATAATATAATAATAAAATGAAGAAGAAGAAGAAGAAGAAGAAGAAGAAGAAGAAAAGAAAGGAAAAGAAGAAGAAGAAGAAGAAGAAGAAGAAGAAAGAAGAAGAAGAAGAAGAGAAGAAGAAGATTAATAATATAACTCTAGGGTTTGGGGGATAAACCACACACCACAACACAATTATATATTTATTTTAAACGAGAGAGAGAAACGGAGGGGATGGGGGAAGGGGGGAGGAAAGCCGAAATAAGATGGGGGTAAAAATTTTTGGGACTCAAAAATTATTGAAAGCCCTTTTAGCATACTGCTAAAGGGCCACGTCGCACACTCCCCCCTTTCCCCCTCCTTCCCCCCTTTCTCCCTCTCCAATTCTCCACTTCCCTTCCTTTCATTTGCATCTACCTCAACTTATTAAAAACCCAACACTACACCCAACATCAAGATCCCACCAAAATGCATTTAACATCGTGATCACCACCAAACACACAACTTAAAAAACATTGATCCCCCACCAACACTACACTTCAACATCATGATCTTCCCCAACGCTGCTCCTTCACTCAGTGATCCCCCACTAACACTACAACTTAAACACACTGATCACTACGAACACTACCTTTCAACATCAATGACTCCCCAACACTACACTTTTCAACATAAATGATCTCCACCAAAACTACCCTTTCAACATCAATGTCACCCCCAAATTTCTCCTTCAACATAAAAGATCTCCACCAAACACCATTTCAACATCAATGATCTCCCCAACACTACCCCTTAAACATAAAGATCCCACCAAACTACACCTTCAACATCAATGTCCCCCACCAACACTACACTTCAACATAAAAGATCTCCACCAACATTACTCCTTCAACATCAATATCCCCCCCAACCTACACCTCAACTAAATGATCACCCCCAAACACTACACCTTAACATCAATGTTTTCCCACCAACATTACCCCTTAAACATAAATATTCCCCCAACATACACATTCAACTCAAGTCACCCCCAAACACACACCTTCAACTCAATATCCCACCAACAGTACACTTCAACATCAGTGACACCACCAACACACAATTTAAACACAATGACCCCCCCACATTTAAAACTCAACATCAATGTCCCCAAAAAACCTAAACTTCAACTCAGGTCACCACCAACACTACCCCTTCAACTCAATGCACCCCCAAACACACAACTTCAAAACAAAATCCCCACCAACCTAAAACTTCAACATCTTGATCACCCCCAAACATAAAAACTTCAACATCAGGGGGATCACCACCAACGTACCCCTTAAACACAATGATCTCCCCCAACATACACCTTCAACATCAATAATCACCCCCAACACAAAAACTTCAACATCAATGATCACCACCAACACAAAAATCAACTCAATGATCACCACCAACATAAAAACTTAATATAAAGATCACCCCAACACTAAAACTTCAACATCAATATCACCCCCCAACCTACAACTTCAACATCAATGAACCCACCAAACACTCAACTTCAATATCAAGGATCACCACCAACACTACAACTTCAACATCAATGATCACCACCAACACTACAACTTCAACATCAATGATCACCACCAACACTACAACTTCAACATCAATGATCACCACCAACACTACAACTTCAACATCAAAAACACCACCAACAAAAACCCCTTCAAACATATATCACCCCAACACCAACTTCAACAAAATGATATACCAACACTACAACTTCAACATCAGTGACACCACCACATACAAAACCTTAAACCCAAAAAAGATCACCACCAACACAAAAACTTCAACATCAAGATCACCACCAACACTACAATTTCAAAACAGTGACACCACCAACGTACACTTCAACATCAATGATCACCACCAAACCTAAAACCAACATCAAGTCACTACCAACACTAAAACTTCAACATCAAGACACCACCAACAGTACACCTTCAAATCAATGATCCCACCAACACTACAACTTCAACATCAAGACACCACCAACAGACCCCTTAAACTTCTATCCCCACCACAGTACACCTTCAACACATGACCCCCAACACAAAAAACTTCAACATCAGTGATCACCACCAACACTACACCTTAAACATCAATGTCACCCCCAAACCCACTAAAACTTCAACATCAATGATCACTCCAACACACAACTTCACACAATGACCCCCACCAACTACACCTTCAACATCAATGATCTCCCCCAACACTACAATTCAACATCAATGATCACCACCAACAGTACACCTTCACATCATGATCCCCCACCACATAACCTTAAACACAAGATCCCCAAACACACAATTTCAACTCATGATCACCCCCAAAACACTACACCTTAAAATAAATGATCACCACCAACACAAAAACTTCAACACAATGATCACTACCAAAACAAAACTTCAACTCATGATCCCCACCAACAGTACCCTTAAACATCAATGATCCCACCAACACTACAACTTCAACACATGATCACCACAAACAGTACACCTTAAACATAAATGAACCACCAAAAGTACGCCTTCAACACGTGATCACCCCCAAACAGTACACCTTAAACATCAATGATCCCCCAAAGAAAACCCTCAACATCTACACCCCCAACACTACAACTTCACATCAATGATCACCACCAACACCAACTTAAACATAAATGATCACCACCAACCACAATTTCAACATCAATGATCATACCAACACAAATTTTAAAACATCAAATCACCACCAACACTACACCTTCAACACAATGATCATCCCAACACTACAATTTCAAATCAATGACACCCCAAACACTAAAATTTTAAACATCAAGATCACTCCCAAAACAAACAACTTCAACGTAAATGATCCCCACCAAACCTAAACTTCAACATCAATGCACTACCAACACTACAACTTCAACATCATGATCATACCAACACACAATTTCCCAAACGTCAATGATCACCCCAAACCAACAACTTAAACGTCAATGATCACACCAACACTACAACTTCAACACAATATCACCACCAACACTACAACTTCAACATCAATGCACACCAACACACAACTTCAATCAAATACCCACCAACCTACAACTTAAAACGTCATGATCACCACCAACATTTTACAATTCAAGTAAATGATCCCCCACCAACACTACAACTTAAACGTAAATGATCACTACCAACACACAACTTAAACGTCAATGATCACCCCCAACACACAACTTCAACGTCAAGATCACCACCAACACACACTTAACGCAATGATCACCACCAACACTCAACTTCAACGTCAATGATCATCCAACACTACAACTTAAACCCCCAATGACACTACCAAACTACAATTTCAACATAAATAAACACTAAACACACAACTTCAACACAAGATCACTACCAACACTACAAAAAACGAAATGATCACCCCCAAACCCTAAACTTCAACGTCAATGATCACCACCAACACACAACTTCAAGTCTGACACTCCCAAACACACAATTTCAACACCCAATGTCACTCCCAACCTACAACTTCAACATAAGACACCACCAACACTACACCTACAACTTTTAATGACACCCCAAAAACTTCAACATCGCCAATGGCCCACAATCAAAAACCCACTTCCATCATAAAAGTTTTCAATAAGACCTATTTCACTTTACATTCCCAAAACCTATCCCAACCGTTTCGCCCCCTCTGAAACCTATTCAATTGTAAAAAACCACTTCAAAAATTTTCAAATTCTTTAATTCCCCTTTAAAACTGCAAGCTTAAAGCTTTTTATTAAATCAATATATATAAAGACCCTTTAAAAACCCCAAAAGTAAGCACTACAATCACTCCTTAAGGCCCTTTTCAGTAATGCCCAAAAATTTTTCCCCTAAATTTAAAGCCTCATTTTCTCACTTCCTTTTCCCCTTCCCTATCACGTTCCTCCCCCTTTTCTCCTCATAAAATTTTTCCTTCCCCTCCGCACCCAATCGTTTTAAATTACAGTGTTTTGTCTTTAGTCTCTTCCCCTTCACTGCAAGGTCTCTCTCTCTCCTCCTCCTTCTCTCTCTCTCTCTCTCTCTCCTCTCTCTCTCCCCTCTCTCTCTCGCTCTTTTTTATAAATTATCGTCTGTTTGTCTCTGACTGCTTTTTGTCTTTTTGCGTGTATGTTTTTTTTTGTCTACTGGTGTTTTTCTTTTTGCTCTCTGTCTCGCCTGTCTGTCTGTCTTCTTTTTTTTCTATCCTTCTGTCTTTCGTCTGGCTGTAAATTTCCCCTCACCGTCCACGGTTTTAACCGGACGCTACATCTACGCCACTCAGATCTTCTCCATGCTTTGGTTTCCCCTTGCAACCTGCACAGCTCCTTGACGCCTGAGAAGGTGAAAAATAGCAAAGATTTCCCCCCCCCGTGGGTTGTCCTGTAAAATATATAAAATTTTTTAAATATAAATAATTTAATATAAATAATTTTATATAAATATAAAAAATTAATAATTAATATATATAAATAGGGGATAAGTCTGCGAGTATACCGTAAAGGTATGGAGGTTATTATTAAAGAATTTAAGAGTAAAAAAGGAAAAAAGGTAAATGAAAAGGGGCTTTGGAAAGAGGGTGGGTCCATTTTAAAAGAAAACAAAAGGGGGAAATTGTAAGCTGGGTTTTTGGGGTTTTATAAAAAAGGTTTTGGGGAATTTGAAGGGGGGAAGTGGCAGAGTTGGTGAGGGTTGGAGGGTTCAAAATTAAAGTTTTTACAGGAAGGGGGAATTTAAAAAAAAAAAGTAGGAAAGAAAAAATTTTTCCCAAAAAATGGGGGAAAAGGGGAAAGATTTTGGACCCCGGGGTGTTTAA